CAGGCTGACGGAGCAGGGGAAGAGGGGAGGGGTGTGCATGGGTGTGTGTGCGAGTGCGTGTGTGCGCCTGGCTGTGTGCGGTGATCCAGAGAGGTGGGTTTCTAAAGGAGCTCAACTCCGCTGGGGCGGGAGAATTCCCAGTGGCCTCGTAGGGAACCAAAGGCACTGATAAGTTGTCAGCTCTGCTGTTCTCAGAGCGGGTAAGAGGAGAAGCTGGGTGAGGTATTTTTAAGCTTTGGGTCAGTGTCCCTTTCTCTAAGGACCTCATCTCTTCCGGGTACTCCCACCTTTTCTGCACAGAGTTGCTTTGGCTCTGTGAAGACAAACAGTGGGTGGGGTTTGCCCAGTGCTGCAGGTCTTAGGCTGATGTTGGGATACAGTCAGGGAAAACTGTTTCTTTCCTTCAAATGTGGAAGCAGTGTAGTCCAAGGTCAGTGTCTGTTCAACAGCTTTTGCATATGGTCTTTCTCTTATGGGAGGGATCTTGAAGACTCCTTTCTTTGCTCCCCAAAGCAGCCTTGTACATGTTCATGTGTTGTGCTATTGGGCTGAGCTGTTTTATCAGTGGACTTGGTGAGCTCTTGTGAAGAAAGGGAGGGAGGAAGGGGGAGAGGCGGGTTGTCCAGCTACTCTTCCTCCAGACACCAATCGGGTTGCAGAACTTCACTGAAAGCTTTACTAATAGAATTGTTGTTCTGACATTATGTAAAAGTGGTATTAATATTGTGTGACTTTTCAAAGAGCTAGTTAGATTTATAGATAGGTAATAGGGATATTGAAGAAATGACTTCTCAAAGAAAAGAGCACTTGGAACAAAAGAAGTGGAAAACAAGGTGTGCTTTATGGAAAACAAATCTGAGGAAGGAAATGAAACAGCTTGTGGGAGGCGAGGGAAGATGATACCCTTTGGCGTTCCTTAGTGCTGCTGAGGCTCAGCCCCAGAACTGGAACAATACCCCCTCTGCCTTATTTCATCTCTCTACCAAACAGGACATTGTCAAGTAGCTCAGACCAAAATACTGATCTGTCTTAAATCTATGTTAGTCTGCTGGTGAATATTCTCCGGCAGAGCTTTACATAATACCGTAAGATACTTAATTTATCACGTTAGTTTCCCCTTTCCTCCCAAAATTGTCTTATCTGTTGTAGGTCCCACTTCAGGATTCACACTGCCTTTGCTGAATTTTGTAGCAGCAGCTACTGGAGCCCCATACCCTGAATGTCGTAACTTTGTGGGCGTTCAAAGCTGGCATGTTGAGGTGCTATAAAAACCTGAAATTATTGAACTATAGAAATCCTGAGACCTCGGGAATGGCACGTCAAGGGGCAAATCGTGGAGATAGCACAACCCCCTTGGGAAACAATTTAGGAACAAGAGCACCCGTGACAGTGTCCTGAGAACAAGGCAGTTGAGACAAAACCTTTAGTTCTTCCCCCATTCACTCTCCATGTGTCGGCCTCTGTGACCCCGGTGCTCCCTGCACCTGAGTGAGTCCAAGGGGAAAAGGCAAAGCGAAAGACTTGGAGATCAGGGCCGCTCCCCGCGAGTTCCCAGGGAGCCGGACTGTGCCTCCCTGCAAGCCAGGGAAGGGAAGGGACCGCTGCAGAGCCACCCATGGGTGGCTTGGAGAGGGCTGGAGCAGCACTGGGCCCCAAGGGGAGCCTTGTGTGCCAGCGATCCATGGGAAGGACCTGGGCAGTAGCTTCTGCATCCCCACCAGTGCTGTTCCATTTCCTTCCTCTGTGGTAGTGTCAAAGGCTAGGTGTGAGTAGGTGTGGGGTGTTTATCCGCCACAGGTACAGGAGCTGTCGTATACCTCATTTCTAACTCGTAACTGAGTAACTTGCTTTAACTTTCTCCGAACCCCACAGAGTTGCCAAGTCTGCCCTCCCTCCTTTGATTAACACTGAACTCTGGCCTATAGCACCCCGTGACCTGCAACCTGGGGAGGTGACCCCCTAACGCCTCTGAATGTCGCTGCTTAAAAGCTACTGCAAAGTGAGGGCAAATTGCAATCTTATCTTATTTCCTTTGGTTACAAGGGGTCCTCTTGATTAGTCTGTGAATATCCACCCCCTCCCCTCCACTCTCCACGGAAAAGGGCCACCTGCACTGCCTTTTCCCACCCCGGGTCCACACTGAACTCCAGGGCCCGGAGGCACTCTCAGCCCAGTGCTGCGTACATGCTACTCACTTTTTAAACATGACCAAAAAAAACAAAGGAAAAAAAATAGAAATCTCAAAATATTTAATTTTCTTCTTTATTATTTGACAATCCTATATCCCTTCCCCCACTCCCCAACCTGGCCAGAAGCTGCATCCTTAACCCGGTCCATCTTTATTTGAATGTAGTTCCCCTACCCCCATGGGAAAGAGAAGCTTTGTCAGGTCACGGTGGCTGCTATAAGTCGGGAGGGGGCGGTTTCTTTGTTTTGTTTTGTTCTTGTAAAATTTCCAGCCAAAACCAAAGATTTCCTAATGATTGTATAAACTCAAAACAAACAAACAAACCAAAGACAAAGGGCGTCTTCAGCACCAAGCCCATCTGTGAGGCCGGTCTGGCCAGGGCAAGAGTCTCTGCCAGCCTGGGCCTCCGAAACACCCCAGGAGGAAATTCCCTGCTCCCGGGTGAAATCTGGGGTGCAGGCGCTGGGAAGGGGCGACCCGGGGGGGCTTCACAGGTGGGTTGAGGAGCTGAAGACTTGGGTGCAGGATTGGCTGCTCTGCTGGGTGCTTTAACCCTCTAGGGGCTGGGTGATGTTGATTAATACACGCTGAGGTGCACTTCTGAGCTTCCCCCCCCTTCACTGCTTGGAAGAGGCTGTCCTGTTGTGAGAAATCCCTGAAAGAAGAAGCAGCAGCTTTTCATTTCTCCTCTAGTTCCTTTTTTCTAGATTTCTTTTATTTTTGCAGCACCACTGTGCAACTATGCATTGTATTTCTCAACCTTTTATGCTAGGTAGATGCCTGTGACTTTTTAACTTTTGGGGGGATTGCAAATGGAGGAACTTTTTACATGGATCTTTTTAATCTCAGTTGATTGGGGGGTGTTTGGTTCTAGGGTCATACAAGCTCTATCCCAAAGCAAAATCCAAATGTTAATATTATTAGCCTGATGCAGATACCAAAGATAATTTCTTTCCTGCAGAACCTTAGACTTGTGTATTAAGTACGATTACCCAGCACTTGCATTAGTCTAACCTCAGTAATTCCAAAGCTTAGATGTATATTTTGGTATATTTCTGGGATATTAAAAAATTGTCGTTTAAATTCTTGTTTGTTTCAGTGTAATGCTCTTAAAGTCATAGCATGGAGATAACTGAACTTGTCCTATTCTTAGTAGTTTGAAATAATAGTATTTTTGTATGTTTTGGGTGTGTCTATGTATGTATTAACATAACAGTTTTCACTGCCTAGGTGTTCATAAATAATAAAAAGAAAAAAAAGCCAACTGCAAAGGGTTTTTAAGCTGTACATAATATTCCATGAGGAATTTCCACCAGACCGCTGATTTGGATTGCATTTTCACTGATGGCCGCTCCCAACTGGGATTCTTTCTTTTTAAAGAGACAGCATGTTCTTTTTATTTTGCCCCACTGACCTGAGGTTCTTTCTCAGTGTAAAGGGGTTTTCACTGTTTTTAAGGGATGGGCCAAAGAGGAAGTAGCTTAAATTTTATTTAAAAAAAATAATAATTTAACATGTTAATTTGAAAAGTATCCCTTTGTATGAAGAACTGGGAGTGGAAAACCAAGCCTTTTTTTCTAAATTCAGTTATAGTTTCCAAAGAGATGAGGATTTGTGAATGTCTGTAGCATCTGGGCAGTCCTTTTTTGCTTTTTATTCCCTAAATAAGGCAAGTTTTTGGTCCTAATGGTTTCACTGCTCTGTGCAGCTGCCTGCTTACACTGGCTGGGAGGTTTTTTTTTCTCTTGCCCTTCCTCATACACTGCATTTATACACTTGAGGTCAGCAGAACACTTGAAATCAAGGGCCATATGGGAGTACCCTACCCAAACCCAACCCAAGCTTTTCTTGAGACTGAAATGTGAGAGTCCCACACATTTCAAAACCTTGCTGATCACACTAAGGGTGAGGAGGAAGGCGAAATGCTGTCTCTTTAAAGATGTCCTTTATAATTATTGTTATTAATAATTATTATTATTATTATTATTTTCCCAGTGGTTGCCTACAGATAGCTGTAGGCATTGAGATTGTGTAGATTACAGTAAATCAGAATGAAAAGGTAGATTTTGTGTAGATGCATTTGTCTGCTGTAATTTTTTATATATATTAAACTTACTGTAATTGTACAGTTAATTTCTGTTGTAAACATCATTAAACCATTTTCCAAGTGTTTTAACATGTATGCACTTGTTTGTAGTTTTTGGATGTGTTAGGGGAGGTTGATTCCCCTTCCCCCCACGGATCAAAGTGGGCCAGAAGATTGGTCCTTCATGCCCTTTGTCTCAAACTGGAGGAGAGAGAATGGGTTTTTTGCACACTGCTTGAAGCTTTTGTTCCACTTCTCTATTTATCAGCTCCTCTCCTAAAAGCAGAAACATCTCCAGTTGCTTCCTGAAGGCAAAGAGGAGACTCAGCTCACACCTACGGTGAGTGTCCCTGAAACAAGTGTTTGAGTCAAGGTACCCTTTTATATATATAAAGAGCATAAAGGTGATTTTTTTTTTCCCTAGAGGATTTCATTCCTATTGTTTAGTGGTTGGTATTTTATGCTGCCAAAACTTGTGATTTCTACATCTTGCAAATATGGTTGTGATTATTTAAAAAGAGAAAGCTGTTTTCAGTACTGTTTGTTCTTGCATTGGTGTTTTGCAGCAGTAACTTTACTGAATTTTTCAGGTTAGCTGGCTGAGGTATCCCCCAGTTCTCTCAGATTTTTCTTGTCATTGCAGAAGAACACTAAGGGATCTAGGAATTTTTTTTTTTCAAGAAACATTCATTACCATCTCTCAGTTTACTTTTTTTTGCTCTAATTTATTGGAAATATTCCTTAAAAGCTACAAGAACCTACTGCAGGTACAGTTTTACTGCTGAAGAAGTAAAACAACCTTGTCACTTGCATAGCAGCAACTTCAGCAAGTTTTTCTGCTGCTAACCCACCCAGTCCCTGAAAAGAAGACATAACTTCATCCAGGTAGAACTTTTGTTCCCACAGTCTTGCTTTAGCTCTGCTTCTTCGATGAAGATTGACAAAATGAACTGGTCAACTCCAGACACGAGGTAAAACAAGCTTTATTTTGCTGGGCTGGTTTTGTCCTTGCTGAGTTCTTGCAGGTGTCAATTGTGCAGCCTTGTAAGTCACAGGCAAAAGTGAGGCTGCAGCAGCAGGAGGTGAGTGTCCCTTTTATACTGGGCCTTGGGGCATTTTTCCAAAAACCCATCCCACTGCTCAGGATGTGTTTAGAAGCTCCTGTTCGAATACTGTCCTCCCCAGCTTCCCTGGAAGATTTATGCTGTTGGGTGCAAGTCGGTTCAGCTGGGCTGAATGCGGCAGGTCACAATCTCAGCCCGTTCTCACACCTGTTCCCTGCACACACAGGTCTGCCTTTATTAATTCATCAAAATTATTGACCTAGTACCTCTTTGGAATCACACCTGCATCTTTTAGAGGTAACCTGATGTTAGACTGGTTTGAGAACTGGATTTAAATTGGCTTTTGTACAGTTTCTGTTGCCCAGAACTGATAATATAGGTCCATTCTCCTTGTTTTCATTGTAACAGGGGTATCATCTTCTGCCTTTTGAGAAGTCTCTCATGCAGATTACCTGGCTCATATTTAGCTCCAAGTGCTAGATGAATGGCAGTGCCACTGCTTGATCTTTTCTGGGAGCTTGGTGCTCATTTTTTTCATGTTGAAATGTTGCCAGTCAGCCTCAATCCTGCACTACACTAACATCACGTCACTTTTTACAATTGAAGAAAAAAAAGTAACCTGGAGCACTTTTTTAAAAACTGAAGCAGTTTAATGCAAAAAGTGTCAGTCTTAAGATAAATACCACAGGAAATAACTACAGCCCTATCTGTTGTATAAATGCAATGTAACCATGATACCCCTGTATCATGTCGTGATACCCCTGCAAGGTAGGGCAGAGCTGTGGAAACAGCTGTGACCTTACCAAAAAAAAAAAAAAAAAAAAAATCAGCCTAATAACCACTATTATTGGAAACAACTTTACAGATATGTACATTTTAATAGCAAAAGCTTGCAGTTGCATAATTCGGGAGGAAAGGGTGAAGGGACTGGATGACTCCAGACACGCTCCCTCTGTGCACCAACCAAAGGAGGTTATTGCACAGAGAAAACACGCAGTGCTTGTGTCAGATGAAAAAGGTTTCCCCTCCTCTCCCCACCAAAGCGTGTGGGCATCTCTCCTTCTTGCCCATCCCGTCTGTGAATCCCACTTAGCGGGGAGGCAAAGTCTGCATTTGAAGAGCATCATAAGTGTCCTTGGTGGCTGCACTGAGTCCCTGAAAAAGAGAAAAACAGGTGAGGGACAAGTTCTCCCTAAAATTTCCCTTAGTGCTGACTGGCCATCCCCAGGGTGACAGGGGCTCCACAGCATAATTCTAATTTTTTTTTCCCTGCAGGGAAAATGAGTGATTCCATAGATTTTGTACAGTGCCAATAGCTAACTGTCACTTATCTGAAGGCAAGGTACGTTCTGAATAACTGTTATGAACATATGACTACAGCAACTCATCCTAACTGGTTATGAAGATCTTTGGAGTGCATTTTATTTGCATATTAGTAAGACCTAACTGATGCTATAGTGAACTCGGGTAACTAAATGAAGACATCAAATCATGAACTTTGTTCTCTGGATTTCTCTTTGATTTGGAAAAGAAGTCAGATGTGACTCTGGGTAAGTAAGTTGGCAGCAGAGCTTCAGATGGCTGTGAACCTTGGGAAGCATCCCCCTCCTGCAACTCCAGAGTCCTTTTCCTGCCAGTCTGCTCTGGTAAGTCAGCTGTGACCTGTGTGTTACAGATCTCTGTGGCAGCAATGGGAACAACTGCTCCAAGAGCAAGGCAGTAGGTGTAGCAAGCTTGCAGGTCAGCCCAGGAGCCTTCCAGAACAGAGATAACTGGAGCTTCCAATAGAGAGGATCTAGCGAGACGCCTGGTACCTGCTTGTAAAACTTCCAGCTACCCTTCACTTCCCTGCTATGAATATTCAGTAGTGTACTGAGAACACTGGAGGTTGGTGCTACTTATGAGGCTCCTGTGATATCTCAGTAAAGATGGGCTTGCAGAAAGGTGTCTTTAGCTACAGAATCACTGTGTTACAGGAAAGCTCCCTGGCATGTGCTGCATGCACCTGAAGAACTTTTTTATATGTATATTTTTATATGTATTTTTTATATGTATTTTTATATTTATATGTATTTGTGTCATTTTGAGATGTCAGTACAATGTACAGGCTTCTGCAGAAAGTAAAATGCATTTTGGAACAGTTATGCCTGGGTGACCCAGCTAAGACCTTACTGAGGGACTCCTTTCCCATTGTCAGATGTGTGCGACTCTGAACCCCCGCAGTGCACCAAGGGACTGGAGGTGCTGAGCAGCCTGTGCTCTGTGCTACAGCGAGGGGGCCTGAACCACTGATGCCCTGAGTTACAACAGCTGCTTGGCAACCTCTAGGTTTCCACTGAAGCAATAAAAAATGTGGAGACAGAACTCTGTGCGTCGTCTGCCACAGTCAAAAGGTGCTTCTCTAAGGTGTAGGACCATGGAAATGGTTCCTACCAGGGCAGCAGGTGCATTTAGAATGTGCAGCCACTTTATCAAAGTGCCATCAGTGCAGCCTTTGCCCTGAATCTCAGTAACTCTCCTCAGAAAGATACTTTGAAAGCTCTATTTCATCACGTCCCGCTGACAGTGCAGTTGGATATATAACTATGGGCTACAATTAACCCATGAAGACAGATGAGAGAAGCAGCTCCTGGACCCGTTGCCTACCTGGTAGACACCTTCGTTGCCTTTGCCTCGCCGCCTCTGCTGCTTTGGGAAAGAAAAATAAGGATAGATTAATGGGTATTTTTCCTTATCATGCAAAAAGGAAGAACTCCCTGATTTCCCCCATCCTGTCCTGAGGGTTGGCAGCTGTGCTTGGCCTGGACCTGCTCTTCACAAAAGGGAAAGCACCTGCTAAGTCTGGACCAGCCCTGACACACTGCAAGGGCTGTAAAGGAGAAAATAAAAAAGATTAGAAATAAAAGGAAATTATTTTGGTTTGCTGACATACTTTTCTGTCATACTGTTACAATGCTGCTATTTCTTTGATTTACCGGATGTATAGAGCTTTGGAGGCATTCCTATAGACGCTGATTATTTACTATTAGACTATCAAAAACATGTGGCAAGGAGTAGTGCCTGCTACAGTTACAATTGCAGCAACCTCTTAAATGGTCATATATCTAGAACGGGACATGAGTTTTGGTGTTCTCATCCCTCTAGGAACAGAAACATTCATAAAAACACAGTGCAGCTTTATAGACCCATAGCTCATGAACAGAGCTTGACTATGGCAATGGGGCATCAGAACATAAATGGGGAGGAGATTACATGTCAGTGTTACTTCAGCATTTCTCAGCACTAAACTTTGCTTTGAAATGCCTCTTTTTTCATGTTTCAGAAGGAAATGAAAGGTTATATATATATATATGACATTTTGACTTAATATAGAACCTCTGTAGGTCACAGCAATTTTTCATTTTGCCATAAACAAGTGTCCCCAGATGGTTTGTTTTCAACACCAGCTCCCCTCCCCCAGTAGCTTGTGCACATAGCAGAACCTGTCCATTTGCTGTAGCTGGAGATACGACTGGTGTGTACCTTCTTAAATGTTTGAGAGGGGAGCTGGGGGAAGGAGAATGTGTCCCTCCTTCCTTATCTGAAGACAGGCCCAAGGAGGAGCTTACACATGGTTTCCTGTGCCTGTAATGCCATCCAGCCTCGGCAGCCCTTGGAGGGGGAACAGTGAACTTCCAGCTCCAAATTGCTCTGGAGGAACATGCTCAGCTACTGTGAGTTGCTGGACCACAGACATTGCAGCACTTGACAACAGACACTCCTTCAGCTACTCCTCACCCATCTCAGACCCTCTGCCTGCTCAGCCAGGGCAGCCAGCAGAGTGTTCTGTCCAAAAGTTGGAATATTTACTGCTGACATTATTCAATGCGCCCAGGGACGCTGCTGGTGTAGGGGCTGTGTTTTTAATGCCAATGGGACAAAGCTGACTGATCTCCACCTGGGTTTATGGCTTGTCTAAGGCCAGAACTACATGTCTTTCCTACTGCTGCACTGAACTGGTTACTACAGGAAACAGCTCCCAGCTGTGCCTGTAATTGCTGTGCAACAAGGACACTGCCTCGTGCAAGGGGCTGCGTGCAGCCAGGACTACTGCTCTGTAGGGGAGCAGTGATGAGGAATTTTTTTTTGTCCTGGGAAACATTTCACTGGGAAGGAAAGTAGAACTCACCTCTCCCTTCATTCCGATTTCGCTGTATGCCTCACCCATCTTGTCCTTCTGCAGTGCCTGCATGCAGAGAGGGGGAAAGAGTCAGCTTGTTTCTAGAAAAGCCAAGCCAGCCCCTGGGTGACCACACTCCAAGCCTCTGCTTCCGGGTCTGCCTTGCCTTCAGAAATTCAGTCTGTTCCAGAGAAGAAGGGATAGCAGTGGGACTTGTCCGATGTGCACGTAAATCAATGCTGTATGTGATCAAGTCTGTGTAGCATATCAATACCCCCTCATCTCCAGTATATCTCTATTCTCAACCAAGTCATTTATCCAGATGAGTGCCAGACACTACAACCAAAGCTCCCCAAGGCAAAGTTTTAAGCAGAGTTTGTTCAGGAGACAAACCCAACCATGAGGCTCAGGCCCAGAGGAAAGGGAATTCTTAACACTGCAGGGTGAAGATTAAGAAAAAGGAGCTCTTCCTTTCTCCTCCATCTGGGGAAGCAGTTCCCAAATGCTTACAAACCAGCTGTGATCAGAGTGTCTGACTCAATAATGATGGAGGCCAGCCTTGGAAACAAGCTCATTTCTCAGCAAGAGTATCCAGAAAGACCTGAGTTAAGACATGAGCATTAACATTAACGTATCAACCCTTTGGAGCACAGACCACCATGTCTAGCCAAAGCCAAATCAATTAAAGAGGTTCCTAAGCAGCCACTCTTAGATGCACTGGCACATGGCCTTTGCCAGAGAGCAGTCACAGCCATTGGAGAACAAGCACATAAAATACTGCAGCATCAATGATATGGAATAAAGGTTGGTTTTCACTAATGCCCTAACACAAAGGGATCAGGATCCAAATTCTTTTCCTCATCTCCCCAGACAGTCAGTGTTTTTCTGCTATCACAAAGAAGTGAGCAGAAACTTTCTAGAAAAGAAAAGAAAAAAAAAAAAAGGCTTGAGGAGGATTTGTTGGGTAAGAGGAGAAGTCTTTGAAAGCAGCTGTTAAATTTGAACCAAAGCTGAAATTGGGTAGAGGGGAAAAAGGTCTCCTACGAAACAGAACCTCCTGTTTCCAGCTACCCCTCCAGTGCTCTCTACTCACAGTGTACACAGTTTCCTGGGGGTTCTTTCTTCTCTGCTGTAAAACAAAAGAAGAATGTTGCCCATGAGTTGCATCACCGGCATCCCCCTCCACCTTGTACATGCCTGTGCATTTGCTCTGTGGCACAGCTATGACTCTATGGACTTGCCCTGCCCATCACAGTCCATCTTGCCTCCACCCACAAGGCTCTGTTCGGACAACTTGTTCTCTGGAAAATTAATTTCATTTTAGTAACTGGTAAAACTTAGTTCTTCTCTGCTCAATCCCTACCGCTGTCACCTGCAGGCAAGCCCTTACATGCCAATGCAGGAGGTTTTCCCTCCCTTTTCCTTAGAAACTGATGGGCTCTGCAGCAGAAATGGCCGCTGCTCCACTTTGTGGGTGCCTGTTTGGCAGCAGCACACGCAGCAAGCTCTGGTGAAACACCCACTGCTGCCTCGCCTGCTCCACATCCGCCCCGGGGCTGGGTGTCACTTCCTATCCTGGGTGGCTGCAAAAGCTCTCAGCAAAGTGAAGGGGGGGCAGAGACCAAAGGAGAGGGGAGGTTTACTCCTCTCCCCCCGCGCTGCCAGCACCCAAGTTATGACACAAATCGTGTCGTTCCCTCTCCAGGAAGGCACTTGTGTTCAGCACAGGCGTGATGAGTGCCTGCCTGCATGTCTGAGCAGCGGTTAGACACAAGATGGAAGGGACCAGATTAGAAGAAAAAAGGGGCATGTGTGGGAGGAAGTTACCTGGTGTCTCCCGCCCAGCTCAGGGTCTGCACCTCGCTTTGCCCCCAGAACATCGTAGTCATCTCTGTGTCCACGAGTCAGTTTCTGAAACAAGAAAGCAAGAAGCTCATTATCGTGGACATCATGATAAGGAGGTAATAGATCTCGACTTAACACAGGAAATAAAAGGAACCCAGCGTGGTTCACAAGTACTATAACTGAGCTAGAAATTAATTTTACTCTTTGTTGCAACTGTCAACAAAAATATCTACAACTAAGCCATGAAAATGACAAACAGTGGTCTGTGCAGCACAAAACTGCAAGCTGTTGCATCAAGAACCTTTCTTAAGTAGAAACAAGTTGAAAATAAGAGAGTGTGTGGAGGAAGGATTGGCTTTCATGCTCTCTCTCCCACTGGAGAGTGAAGATCCATGTGCTTTATTTTTCTTGCAGAGCAGTTCATCTAAATTTGCATCAAGAAGCTGCAGAAATTTTATGGCCAACACAATTCTTAGCTGGGAAAGTTTACCTTAGACCAGGGCAAAGGAGGAATTTCAGGTCAGCATAACACAGCTGACAGAGTGCTACTCTGTGCCAGGCTACACTTAGACTGAAAAAAAATTACATTAGTGATAATACATTACACAGTTAAACAGAACTCACAGCAGGATGTGGCTATGGCCAAAAGCCTGAGAAAAAGAAATTAAAATCAAAAGACAACTAGACACAGCAAAACTAGCTAGAGTTTAATGCTGCCGTGAGTGAGCACTTTAGTTAGGAAGGACAGACAGGATCTTATTTCAGTCCTCTTTCAAGTCAGGAACCTACAGCCCAAATATCTATCTACTATCTGGCCAGAGTGGTGACAGCAGAAGCTGCCCTTGTGAGGTTTTCTCTTTCTTCCTTTCCTCCTTGTGTGATGCAAACATGCACACAAACATGTATAGCCTACTCATTAGCTGGTTCATCCAAAGTTTTTCTAACCCACAGGCAATTCACTATTTTATAAGTGCCCAAAAAGGTCTGTCTGGGTAGCAGATTTAGAAACAAACACCAGCAGTTACTTACATTGTACACATCATCCTGGCCTGGTCTCAGCTGTGGTTCAGAGGCCTGGCTAAGCTGGAAGAGAAACCAAACCATGAGACAGTGGCTCCCTTCAGTCTTTTCATTCCTTCTCTCCTATGAGAGAAACAGGGCAACCCATGAGCAGCCACCTGTGGCACTGATGGGGCTACACGCCCCATCAATACAAGCCACTGCTGTACTGGCACTTTTATCCCCACACGGGGTTGCTCTCAGCAGTAAAGTCATTTTACTTGCACATAATGCCAGTTCACAGCTCAAGACAGCTGGGTTTGTTCCCTGTACTCCCCCCCTCAGATCTTGTATCTCCATTCTGTTCCTGCCATAGTCCTGTGCTGTCAAAAGAAGCTCCATCAGGCTATAAAATCATAGCTGCAGCCTGTGTTAGGCAAAACTGGGTACCTGGGGCTGCTAACCAGCAAAAGCACTCCTGGCACCCAAGTTCTCCAGCGAAAGTGCTGCCTACAAAGTTCGTGGTGTCCTGCTGGGAATCCCTGCTCCCCTCAGGAGCAGTACCTGGCTTGCAGAGCTCTAGTGCCATAAGTTGTAACTACCACATGAGTGGTAACTATCAGGCAAAGGACTTCCCTTCTGTAGCTACTCTGGTTCAGCTGCTCACAATATTTATGGGCAGCCAATTGCTGCCCATTCCTTTTTCAGGTAAAAAGGGACAGTTTTAGGTCAGTGAGAGCAGCTACTCTGTGTTTTAGTCTTTAAAAAAACCCAAAACATCAAACTACATTCTGTATTGCTTTAGCCTTCTTGAGTTATTATCACATGTTAAATTTTTATTAAAAGTAATTCTCTAGCTATGTTTATATTTAGGTGTAGAATCATGTCTGCGGCAATTACGAACTCCTCTCCCATGGTTGTTTGGGTTATATCATCTGCATCATCACGCTCATACTATCAGAGATATCTGAATTATTGAGACATTTTTATACATCCTTCACAAGCTTGTCATCTATCCTGAACTTTCTGTATATCCCCTCCTCCCTTTCCAATGACAAAGCAGCAGAAAATATCCACATCAGACTTCATCAGGCATTTCCAAGGTACAATATCCAGAATCTCTGATGACATCCATAACTGTGGCATCAAAACACTCTCATATATTCTTCATTCATGCACCTTTGGAAAGAACTTCCCCAGGTTGCTGGAGTGGACACCAGAAACAGAGGAAAGTTTAAACAAACAAACAAACAAAAACCAAACAAAAACCAAAACAAAAAAAGGAGCGAGAAAATAAAACGATAAAAATATCTCATTCTAAGAGACATGCTTCGTCTCCACTCCCACTTTCCAGATCAGCCCAAGTAGTTTGCACCACCAAAGCCATCTGTTTGGTTCGACTGACCTTGGCTTTCACAAAAAGCGCTGTCATGATGACTGCATAGAGAAAGAGGAATCCATCCAGTAAATAGCAGAGTCTGGGATCTGTCAGTCCAAGAACTGATGTAGCATCTGTACAAAAACATCAGATACATCAACAGACAAGGCCATTTGTACCACTGGGTGCTTGAAGGCATAAATGTGGCAGTGCTGCATAGCTCTTCTTGAAAAAGTAGCCAATATGACAGCAACACTGTCCCTTTGCAAAGGAGATGATAGAATTCTGAATATAAGAATCCTAGGATTAATCAGGTAGGAAGGGACCACGGGAAGTCCAACCCTTTCTCCAAAGGGTAAGTTAGACCAAGAATTGCTAACACTGCAGTTACTGCAAGAAAGCCTCACACAGAACATCTATTTTCTGGTTTCTTTTATATTTCTGAAAAGAATCTCCTGCAGGGATTCATTACTGGTTGGGGATTACTTTATCAACTAAAGTTTGAGTGTGTATGAGAAAATACACCTGCTTGGAAAAATGTTTTAGGGAAGAGCTTCTTAGGAAAAAAGATTTGTGTTAAATGTGAAGAGAGATTGACACTGTCGTATTCAGTGGGAGACCCAGGCTGAAATGACTACTCTGCTTTATTTAGAAAGTCGACTACTACCCTAATTGAGAACTCAATAAAGTTATTACTCAGAAGATCTTGATGTTCATTTGCTCAGCCATGTTTCATATATTTATATGCAAAAACAGTAACACTGTTGGGTTTTATCAGCTAAAACTGATGCAACTGCCTCTGTATCAGTCTGTAAACATGTAGCAAGTTCATAAAGTACAGTGAAAAAAATCAAAGCCTAAGTAACTATAGATCCAATATGCAGCTCTGGGTCCATCCCCAAAAGGAAAAGCTGTATTGCACACTTATTAAAAAAAAAAAAAAAAAACAAACAACAACTTAGAAACTAATCTGAGTTGTGCTTTTTGCCAAAAATTCATGAAAGTTCAAAAGAGAAAGACAAAAATTATCAATAGCCTGTGAAGCCCTTTGATGAAGATAAATTGAAAAGAACAGGTATGATTCATCTCCTTCCTCAGGTGAATGAAGTGTGGCAATTCTTATTAACCACAGGTGATGGAGAGTAGTTGAACTACCCAGTGCAGCTGTGCAAGGTGCTGAGTTACTCCAGTGCTCCATTCCACAGGCTGGGATTTCTCCCCAGCCCTTTGGGTCACACTGATGACTCTTTTAGAGGACATTTGCAGATGACATTCAGGCATTACACACTCACCACCACGAGAAAGTCTCCTTTGCAGAGATATAGTTAATGGTGGTGGCCTGTTGCACTGCTCCAGTGTGCCCTCCAAATAAAGCTTGACTGAAAAGCCGTGCCTGGATACTTGGCAATGTAATTATAAATTCTCAAGCAGGTGACGATACCATCAGTGTTCCCACTGACAGCCTAACACAGCCCAGAAAAAAAAGAAAAAAAAAATTTAAATTCCAAAGGGTAGATTTGTCTGCAACACCCCCCTGTGGCCTTTTACTTTTTAAAGTGGGGAGGGGGTGGGGGAAGGGGAGGGCCGGGAAAAGGTCATTCAGAACAATTGCTGCTGACAAGCAGGTGAGAAAAAACCCTTCAGCAAGACCCCAGCAGCAGCCCTATGAGGCGAAGGAGAGGAAGCCTCGGGGTTGGTGAGGGAGGCCGTGCTGTGGGTGCCCGCCTCGGCAGCCCTGCGTGGCAGCTGGCCCAGCAATGTGGTTTCGGAGAGCAGCTTCAGCCCCCCGGCTCAGGCCCAGCAATAGCTTTCCTGCACGTGGCCCTGGGTTTATCTCCAGCCATCTGCTGCCTGCCTGCACCACCGGCAGCCCCCTGCTCCAGACTGGGACAGAGCTGGGGAGTCCCAACACCCACATGCAGACACATCCACTCTGTGCACGAGGTAGGGATGCTGCAGACCAAAGCTGCCCCTCACTCCTGGCTCAGTGCATGGGGTTCACCTGAAGTGAATCACTGAAACATGGCCTGGACCCTTGAAACATGCCATCACGTTCCTTTTTAATAGGATTTTCTTCCTTTGACGTTTTTAGTGCACATCTGGATTGAGTTAGACCGTGATTCCTGGTAATAGTTTAAGAAATACAGACCGTAAAAGCTGAGCTACTTGTAAATCCAGATTAAATCTGTCCACCATAAAATTTTCTCTCTCCCATGGCCCTCATTAAGTGATTCATTTAAGAGTTTTACTTTTAGGGGTTACCAAAATTCAGTAACATGGCTATAAATGAAGCATTTTATCTTCCTGAAAACTGAGTTTCTCAGTAAAGCCTGTGAAAACCAATCCCAGAACAAGAGATTTATTGATGCAACTGTTGTTACATACAAAGGTGTTTAAAGGCAGATCCTGCAGTGCCTTCTCCCAACAACCAAGAGCTCCCACAGCTACATGCCAGGGCAAAGCAGGCAGCGTTTCTCTGATGCCACCATCTGACAGCCCAGACCAAATGTCTGAAAGTTAGCCAGCTAAAATTATGGAAGATAATTTCGTTCATAAGGAATGTATCTGTCCTGGGTTTTATTTATATATTTCTATGGTTTTTACTTGTAGATATAAATAACAAACAAACCTGGGACACTCCAAGACAGAAGAAGCAGAGGCCAAATCTTCCTTAACTCGCAGAAGGAAGAGGTTCCTCCACTGTTGTTTGGGCACATTGATGGAAAAATCAGAGCAAAAAAAACTGAGAGAAGAAAAAACCTGGATTACACCAGGCATGGTGTATTAACAGCTCTGATGTTCATGATGGTTAGTCACGAGAAACAAGTGAATGGAAAGGTGTCCCTTGCATCAAACCCAGTATGTGGAATCAGGAGACTCCTCATTTTATGCAGGGACAAAAGATAGTCCTGCTGATCATTAAATTATATTAAGATTACAGAGTCAAATAAGACTTTCAACTTAAAACTTCTCCACGACCATATCTGCAAAACCAAGACACCCAAGGAAAGCTGGCAGGAAGATACAATAACTCCACCACAGCAAAGTGACGTTTGACTTGCTGCCTGGAAAAATGTCCAGCCACTTGCTTTTGCAAAAAAAGCTAAAAATTATTTTTACATTACTGGGTGGGTTTTGGTTGTTTTCCCTCACCACCAGTTCCTTTAGTGCTGAGGAAAACTCTTGTATTTGTCATCATTACTCCATCACATATTTGTGAAACACAACATGGTCCAAAGCAGAGCCCCTGCCCGTGAAGTGCAGCATTAAGGTTTGTTGTCATCCTCAGCTTTAAAAGGAGGAAGCTGCTGATATGATCGGGATTCAGGTACATTTAAAATGGAAAGTGGTTGAGGTCACTAGCTTCCACTTTTTTATACCAATGAATGTTAGCACTATGGAAAGTCAAGGTAACGTGCTTTAGGATTCTTGTGAGCCCTTCATACTCCTATGAGGATCCCTTTCGGGGAGGTACTACCACAAAATTCAAATAATCCAAGTTTCCCTCTGGTTTATTTGGGAAGAAATAGATTTGAAAGAAGGAAAATATTATAATGTCACAAAGGGCCAAACACTGGTGCCCCTCCCTGTGGCAGGGTGGTTAGAACTAGATGACCTTTACAGTCCCTTCCAACCCAAACTATTCTATGATTCTATGGTTTTCTAGTACATCATGGAATAAAGACTTCAATAAATAAAGTCCAGGGTACTGTAACAGGGACAAGACAGGTAGATCTCCAACAGCTCTTTGATTTGTGAGAAGAAAACAATAATAAATGATCTACCTCTTGAACCTGAAGATTAACTTTGAATATATAATTAAATAAGGCAATTTTTCACCCTCCAAATCTTTCCAGAGCCTCCTCAGAAACAGAAAGGAGGGGAGTGCTTTTCTCATCTCTGGAAGGGGACTCCTTGCTTCATCAAAACAGTCAGTCATTCTCAGAAAAAGCAACTGCTTTCACTTCTCGGTTTAGCAAGAACTTGGTGCAGAGGGCTTTCCTGAAGCAAACCTGCTGTTGCCTCCTAGAGACAGCAAACCGTGTGCAGGGTGACTGCAGAACCTGGATATCACCAAGCTTGGGTGACAGATGCCCCCTGTGCAGGTCTGTCAGCTTTTGGAGGGGTGTTAGATTAGACACGTGCTTTTACAAACCCATCTTCATCAGGGATAGCAGAAGTTTAATCCAGTTAATACGAAAGGTGTTCCCTGCTGTAAATTTTCTATTCTCTAATCCAATCTGGTGTTAAGTGTACAAAAAGGTAGGAGTTATTATTCAAATGGTTGTTTCTAGGTCACTTAGCCCTTCCTTCCCCTGCCAATTCTGTCCCACAGCAGTAACTCACCTCAGACTGATTTACTATGAGGTGGCCTTTTCATGTTTAGCTTCTACAACCCAGTGCATATGATGGAGGACTGCTTAAAAGAATTCAGCCTACATATTTCAGTGGGAATCCCAGAGAGACTACACACTGCAAGGCTGAAGAGACTCTAAGTTAGACACGAGATGCCCTTGATCACAATTAGATGTGTTTCTCTGTTCAGTGAGCACTTCACAGACCTGGCAGACATTTCTCTAAGCACTTTCAATTAGCACTTTAAGTTAGACTTTACAGAAAGCAGTGGAAAGTAGGGTTTGCTAAACAGCTTGCAGCTACCTCACTGCCAATGGCCCCAGTAATCAAATAGACTGATAACGTGAAGTACAATTCCCAACTGGGAGATTTATAAGGCAACCCCACACCCTTTTATCCCAGTTTCAGACTTCCAAAAGTCATTAAGCTTATTCTGGCTATCATTGTTGGTGGGAAATGGCTTTGTAATTGGCTTTCTAATAATGGCTTTCTAATGGGTAGTAAAATAATAGAAATATCCATGCACAAAATATTCAGTCTGTCAGTGAGCACAGACATATGTGTGCTTTTTCTTGTCTCAACATCAGTGAAGGGAGAGACTACTTTGATTTCACAGCTCATGTCAAACTAAGTGTAGAGGTGTATGAGCTCAACAAGAGCCTCAACAGGGCTGTTTTGTCTCAGACTGAGCTGAATTGCAAATCCCTTGATTCACTGCAAGCAGAGAATAAAGGTAAAATATCCATCAAGACAATGCAAGCTAAGGATGGAGGTGCTG